ACAGCGGGAATCTGTGCCTGTTGGTAGAGACAGAGCTACCTCAGGGCCAAGCCACAGATTGCAGAGTAAACTGCAAATAACTGCAAGTTAGCTGATGTGCCGTAACTTGTCTGTGCGAGTCGTTCCTGGCAAAGCATTCTCCTGAAGTCCTCTGAGCAGCAATGCGTTCATGCAAACTCTAGCTTGGGTTTGGGGTCACATCTTTACCCATTTCTGTTGTCATGTAATTGCAATGAATTTGTAACGCAGTATAGGGAGGTTTTATTATACAAAACCATCCTGCGTTTCATTCGGTACTGCATCGTTCTTTTTAGCTGGTGAACAGATTAGGGTCTGCAAAAAGCGGAGCAGAACTTTACCATCACAGTGCTGCAGCCCTGACCCAGGAGAGGAGAGGAGACCAAGCCATTACCATAGAAGGTATGATCCTTGACCAGCTCTGTAGGTATGTCAGTGAATTACTCTCAAACCATCTCACTGAGGATCGAATATATTTGCCATCTTATCCATGTTGATTGTTGGTGTACACGTATCTGTATGTCTATAAAGATGTGCATGGGTATACTGCACCTCAGCTCTATACCCATCACCATCTGTTGATTTCCAAACTTGGCAAATCAACTTCGTCATATAATGCTCATAAATGCATTATATGAAAAAGGAGGAGCAAATGAAGGGTATGTCACACCACCACTAGTGCAAGAAAAATGTTTCTGTTCCTGTTCGAATACTCGAAAATGTGTGTCAGCCTGGCGGAACAGGAGTTACATACTGCTGAGAAAACGCAGGGGCCAGTAAGTAAAGCTGCAGGCATATTGTGATCATTTCTGAAATACCACTGAAGACCATCTGGAAGGATTGAGAAAGCAGAAATGACAGCAATATATCCTGAGCAATGTTAGTTCATCCGTTATCTAGGACTGGTCAGGTTTTACACACCACACAGTCATAGAGTCTATTCCTTTTTTTTTCTGCACGTTTCACAATCGGTAGGTGGGGATTTTACACCCATCCAACAACGCATCTCTTTCTTAACACCTTTAGGATGTGACTGCCTAAAGTTACCTTCTTATCAAAGGGGTTTCCACAAGCAGTGTGTTAGACGTGCTTGCTATAAACCCATCGCAACTGAGTTTCCATCAGTGACTACAACCGTGTAAGGAGCATTTCTGACACAGGAAATTGCTTCTTCGTACATCTTAGAAGTGTCCTTGGCCGGCTGAGCATGGGTCAGCCAGCGCTGTCTCTCTTGAACAGTTCCCAACAGCGGTTCAGGAGATAATACAGCCAAGGGACCATCTATATTAGATAATAGATAACAGGTAGCTTACTGTTTTGGAGGGTTAAGAGAGAGGACTAGGACAGGCACAGGCCATTCCATGCCAGCAAACCTTGGTTTGGAGACAGAGAGCTGTCCCAGATATGATTAGTGGAGACACGGCCAACAAAAGCCAGAGGTTTGCCAACAGCTATAGAACCTTCTTTCCTCATCTTCAGTGTTTTCACATTGTCTTGTGATAATAACAGGGGTTCAAGTGTGCTTTTGACAGGGGATAATTGTTATTATCAACATTCACTAAGAGCCATCAAATACAAAGGCATTCTGATTCAAGAAGCTGCTGAGCAGCAAATGACTGGAGTCTGGAAAAATATTCAGGGAAAATGGTATTCCACTCCTATTTTTTTCACCATTTTCCATAGGCTTCTGCTGTTGGCCCTGTCTGAGACAGGGTCTTGGTCTGGATGGACCTTTGGGCCAGCCCTGTGTAGACACTAATGTTGTATTATTACAGTAAGAAGATTCAGACACAACAGGCTATTATGATTAGTATCCTGATCTGGGTACTTGCTTGTCTTGTTTTTACGCTTGCTTTCCTTTTTCGTCCTTTCCCAGAGTACCATCAAATCATTCAAAAGCATTACAGGGAGAATGGTGTTAGCATAGCAACGCTATAATCGTTTCAGCGGGATAAACCTTGAAGTACTTGAATGCTTTGTCCTTGCTATGCCCTAAAGAGAGAAAAATAAGTTGTATGCAGGATGCAGAGGAACACAAATAAATCACCGTTAGGGTGGCATATCTTGATGAAGTTCCCTTGTACCAAGGCAGAAGATGTTCTAACAACAAACAAAGGCTGTAAAACAGTGGTAGGAGCATTGGTTAGCTCTTCGACTCGCAAATGTATATGTTCATCCCTGAATTACTCATCTGCTGTTATTCCTGCAGTCATAAACAAAAAAATTTGTGAACTTGGTTGAAGAAATATAATTGGAGTTTGCCTGGAAGCTTCAGAAATGTTATGAAATAGTGTTTGGTCTGTGATGTGCAATCACTTGAACTTGGTAATAGGGAAGGAAATAGATCCCTGAGTCACCTCCAGGGAGAAATAGAGGGAGAGCTGCTTCAGGCCAGTGGAGCAAAGAGCAGGCTCATCCATGGAGCAAGAGGATTGTTCTGAGCAGAACTGCATCAGGCATGCATTTGGCATAATGCACTTAACCGAGGAAGGCTTTCGTTGCTTTCTTGAGAATCAATAACCAGCCTTGATCTACCTATGGAAAAATCAGGTTCATCTGGCAAAGAACTGGAGGACAGATGGATCTCATGAAGGCTTTCTCCTTCCATCCTTACAATCCTTCCTATTTGTGAAAATGGGATTATTTGTAACTTCACCAAGAGGACAACATTACTGCTGTATGGTACTATTACAACCGAAAATACATACTGTGTCTGTTCCCTAGCTCACCTGCATGGTGGGTCTAAGTTTTACCCAGTTTATTGTTGGTTCTGCAAAATAACTATTGTCAGAGTGTCCTGATAGGGGAGAGGGGCTTTAGTTGCAACTCTTTTAGTTTTTAATCCTCCTGCCTTTCTGTACTGTTTATTATACTGAACCAAACCTACTGTCACAATTTGGGATACCATTAGCACAGTGGTTTGTGATCCCTGACTTGCAGTCAGGGATGGCCCACAGTCCAACACCATGGGTCTTAAAACCAAACTTGTTGTCATTAAGCTTAAATTCACACTATGGGGTGTGAATCCATTTTACTGATTCACTGGATGAACCAAATCCTAAAAGGATGGAAACCACTGGACTAAGGGGTCTCCTTGCAGGCACCCACAGCTTGGGCTGCAAGCCTGAAACGCTGAGTTCTGCCTTCAGCTACGCCTGGTTGCTGCACTGAAGTCAATGGAGAGTTGCTTTAAAAATCCTTTTTCTGTGGATACTAGAAGAATTTTAGACACTTAAAAAAAGTGTAACTGAAAGAAGATCCTTCTCTTTGACTTCAAGTTGACTGTCTGCTTTGCACCTTGTTTCTTAACCTACACACAGCAGATCTGGGCTGATGTGCTCTGGCATCCCTTTTTAACATGTTATTATTGCAATTCATTCATCCCACGCTCACTAACTTGTTCATTTTTTACGAAAAACAGAGCCCAGTGTTTTTGAAAGACGTTGCATTCTCATTAGGGCTGTCAGGTCCAGGATGCATAATGAGATAGTTGATTGCAGGGGAAGGAATCAGCTACTCAAGTGGAGACAAGCAAAACCATGAAGAAAAACACCCAGTACAGCTACAGCCAGGCAACAGGAATCTCTTTGTAGCCTTGACTTAGATCTCATGCAGAGCTTTCAGCAAGGTATTTAGTTGCCTTACTTGGTAATACCCAGCTTGCAGGGAAAAAGCTAAAAATTGAGGCTCTCCAGTTGAAGATGGCTTTGCAACACAGAGGAGCATTAGATCTCTTAGTGCTACCCTTTTACTGAAAAAATAGGGCACAGGTGTTTGTCCCCCTGACCTTTTTAAAGTTTTTTGGTTGGGGTGACGGTTAGGATATTTATCTTATTATTTTTGTTCTGTTGCCATCGTTGGCTATCTCATTTTTGGGCTGGCAATGTGGTTTTCAGTGCAAATTCGAGAGAGCACAATCTGCCTTTACAACCACCTCAGTCGCTGCAGGAGTGGAGCCATTTTTTTTGAGAGGGAATGCAAAAGACTCGCATTTCATTCACACCATCTAGGAAACAGTGTTATGTCCATGAATTGCTCATTTTAAGACCAGCTTTAGCAGGTTTTGTGCATCCCCTGTTGCAGATTAATCTCCTAAGCGTAGCAGAGGAGGGTGAAGGCTGAGCAGTGCTCCTGTGGTTTATGCCAGCAGCGTGTGCAGGAAAAATAGGTTTATGCTTCTGGGAGTGGAGAAAGCAGACTTAAAGTTGGTAATAAAGGCCATAAAGCGCCTTTCATCCGTTCAGAGCGACAAGAGCTGACTTATCCTAAATGTCTCATCACTTGTAAGTCAATGATTTCATGTGTTAACCAAAGAGGAGTCTAGTCCTGTAGAAGCACGGGCTGATCCTAATGCTTACAGCTTTTAACCTGCTTATCAGGGGCTCCTGCTTTGCAAAGCTATTTTCCTAAAATGCTATTGAACAAGTTGAAATGATAAATCCGGTGCTAAAATGGGTGCAGAATATTTTCCTCTCGGGGAAAACAAAACAAAACAAAAACCCACCCAAATTCTCTCATCCTACTTTCATGTGGTTCTATCCTTCGTATAGGATTGCTTAAATCCTCCCTCACACCTCGGATAGCACATATAAAAATGATCTGTCATGCACTAAACTGCAAGTCATCAGGACCCACGTACTATATGCCATTTACAGCTTTCTCATCCCAGGCCGGCTGCACTTTTGAATACTGCATCCCTTTGACACCTGCTACATATAGAAATATTGCAGTGGTGTCATTTGGGAGGACTGCAAGAACAGACATTAACGGAGTAAGCATTAAAGAGACTTCCTCTTACAGACATTAGGGAATTTCATTGAATACATATTTAATTATCATATAAATACAGTTGTTAAAATAACTATATAACACATCTATGTTTAGATGTATAATCAAATCAATTCATTCCTATTTCCATCAGAACTGATACTCTTGCTGCTTATGGATTAATCTCATGGTATTATTTGATGAGATTTCCTAAAAGTTACGTAAAAATTGCACAATATTGATTTAAGGGTTTAAAAATTCAGTGAAAATTTCTAACCTGATGCAGTCAATAGTTTGAGCACTCAGTTCATCTTCCATCATTGTATAATTATCAGTCCACCATTTAAAAAAGATTTTGAGTTATTTAAAAAATATTAACTAAGGATAGGTAAACAGTTGTATTGTAACTGTGTTCAGAGATGAATGTCTAAAAGGAATTTTGCCCTTTACTTACCCAGGAAGCTATAAACTCTCATTTCCAAACAGATTTTGTTTAAACCCACCTAATTCTGCAGCAACTCCTTTGACTCCATTGGAAATTATTCCATATTTTCACATGCATAAATGAGACAAGGCTCTGCAAAGAAATCATAGAACTCTAGGTCAGATGGTGACATCGACATCTGCACAAAATT